GATATTATTTAAAAACTGACCCAAATAATCACACTAAAAACTAAATATAACACAGAAAATAAGTAGAAGCCAATAAAGAAGCATTATTATATTCCAAGTTCAAAATTTAAAAGTCTTTGATTTCCCTATTATTAAGGTGTAACAGGAATATCTCTACAAAATAAAAATTACCATTCAAAGCAAAGGAGTGTACAGGTTTTTCTTGACTTCCATTCTCATTGCCAATCAGATATCTTTCATGTTTTCTGTTCTTTAATTACCAGCTCTGCTTATATCATTTGTAATTTTCTATATTTAAATAAATTGTCTGCATCTCTGAATCAATTCAAATCTTGAAGATTGAGGCAAAGAACAAAGAACTTGGTTTGATATTTGTTATGAAAGGTAATATTGGTCTTAATAACTCATGTTATTTCACATACATTAAGAGGTAGATATGTTCAAATATGAAATTCTTTTATGACCTATTAAACTGTTATCATACAAGTACAAGTAAAACTGGCTATTCTTGAGGTGAAATATTTTTAAAATTGTATGTCTGTGTAGGTGTGTGTATACTTGACGATATATTTACAGTTATTGTCTTCAGAAGTATTTACCTACTTAATATCTTATAAAAAATATTTTTTAAAAACTGGAGTCATGATTTCAATCCCTAAGCTTGGCAGTTTCTAGGTATGTTTTGCTCTCATATAAGCTGTTAAGAAGAATAAGTGAACAAAATTGACAAACATTTTGAAGAAATTAATGCAATCTGAGAGTACATAAAAGAACTGAATCCTTAAGAAAGATTTAACAAAACAAAAGATCAATATACTTTCGTAGGAAAAATAAAATTCTATTTTTATTACAAAAAATTAGATAATATGCCAGCCAAAATGTTGGGTTTAAACCAAGAAAGATTTAAGATAATGGTACTATTTCAAGTATTCAGATATTAACATCTGATATTTGATAGTTATTGTGAGAAACTGAATGAGAGCAAGTCTCCTCAAATGTCAGCAATGCCATATCTGGACAGCCTCTTCTTCAAATTCCTAATTCATCTAATATTGCCTCTAGTGATTTTGGTGCTACTCCAAACTCTTCAACTATCATAGGCACAAACCCAGACCTTCAAGTTTTGCATTTATTTTTCATTGTTTGGGTTTTTAGCAATAAAAACTCCTGCAGTAAATTTAACAAAATCAATGAATGAAAGATTGATGAATGTAATAGAACGTCACTGTTGTAAAGATAAATAAAAATATGAGATTTAATCTTTCATATGTAAAATTTCTGGACCTCACCAATTAATACTGATTTGGGAAAATTCTTCAAGCATTTTTCTTCTTGAAAGGATGTGAGAGACTCTGGCTTTTCCCTCTTAGGGAAGATGTTTATATTACTGCCTGACATCTGGTTATTCTATGTATATACTGCCTGAGCTTAGCTGGATCAACTATCAATTTGCATATCAGGGATGGTCATTAACAGCATTTGAGGCCCAATTCTGATGACTATAAATCATCATTGATGTCAAACTACTGATGCACTGGTATCACACTGAATACAGAGCTCAGTATTATTGGGGTCACCGCAGATCAACTCTTCTTAGCACAAAGGTTCCTTATTGACATTAAATTCAGTTCAGACCTCTGGTATTCCCTGGTATAAATCACATACTATACCAATATAACATGTAAAAAATCATCAAATAATGATTTCAAATATAGTGGATATTGTGTTAATCATATATTTTCCTGTGGCTTTCATTTTTTTTAGATATATTTATCAATAAATATTTACATTCCATATAATCTGATAAGTTGATATATATCAGATAGAAATATATTTAAAAAAATTTCCCAATATCAGTTACTTAATATCTGTCTATATCTCTGAGATGAGATACTATGATTACTTAGATTACTTACATTATTCAGACTGTTACATGAAGATGACGATAACAGTCCGAATAATGTAAGTAATCAATTACTTAATACTTGCATAATAAAATCTGACAGTATAAAACTTAAAATGGCAAGCCTGTCTGTTTTTCTTTCATCACCATCTCTTTCCTTAGTTGATAGGACATTATATTTTTTGATACATTGGGTTTGTCAGGAGTGGAGGCTGTTTTTCTACTTTGGAATATTTTATGAGCCTTTTGTTTCATGTTGAATATAAAATAATTAGGGTACTGAAGAAGCTTGAAATTGCTTTCAATGTATTTCTCCTCTTCATGTAAATATTGAAGTCTGTTGCTTACCAATTAACTCTATCATATTTACAATTGTAAATTGCCCACTGTAATGAGACTGACCACAATTCTGATATAAAAAATGCTACTCTGATCAAAGGAGAAAACAATTCACTATGGCGAAAATATCTAGAGAGTGCCTTGATCGCAAGGTCAGCTACAGTAAATTTGTGCCGAGGCTTTTATTACATTTTACCATTCCTGGCAGAAGTTCTATTATCATAGTGTGGGATGGAAAGAAAAAAATCTATAAGAAATTGGCTAGATTAAAAAAAAAAAAAAATTAACTTAAAACTACATTATATCACCATTTTTCTACAGATCCATTATTTATGAATCTAACTTTTTTCTTCCAAATACATAAAAATAACATAAAAATACATTTTTATGTATTTTATTTATATATATATATATATATATATATATATATATATATATATATATATATATATAAAAAAATAAAATAAACACAAGATATACTTTAATAGAAAAATTTTTTCAAAACATCCTACTGCATCTTACTAACTTTTACACACTTTAGCATTGAGAATTTTTGCCATTAATAAATATTATCTGTTACTTTATTACACATGACACGTATCTTATCAATAAAAAAATAGCCAAACAAAACATACCATTAATCTGTCTCTTTACTTTTTATCATTTTTTATCGTTTCTATTTTGATCTCTGATGTAGCTTTAATAAAGGGAAACAGATTAAGATCTGTTTCCTACTTGTTCTTTATCCTATCATATATATATATATATATAAATTGTAGTCTTTAAAATTACTAACTCAGCACCTGAACATTGTGCTGTGCATGAAACTCTGAGTTGTGCTACTGCTGAGGAAAAATATGTATATTTAATAATATATAGTTCATAGATCTGTTATATTATTTCAAGCACTATTTTATTAACACCAGCACTCAATGTGCAATATTATATATATATATATATATATATATATATATATAACACATTGTGCTGGTGTTAATAAAACAGTGCTCGATATAATTTAACAGAGCTATTAAGTATATATACTAATGAATATACATATTATCCCTCATCACTAGCATGACTCATTATTAAAATCAGGATTTATATATGTATGTAAGAAAAAAATATCAAATTAAAAAATTTTATTTTTAAGTAGTGCATATTAATTTTTAAAAATTTTTTAATTAAAGGGAGATTACTTGTTCTTTGAAAAAACAAACAATAAACATTAGTTTATATTCAAAATAAATAGTAATGTATATTAAAAATTAATCTGGATCAATGTATTTAAGCAGATATTTATTTTTATGCATACATGTAACCATCAATTGTTTAATAAGCTCAGATTATTTTAGTGTTTTAAGATAACCATTTTTTTTAACAAGACATAAGTTACATTTATTTATTTCTTCTGTTATAAGGTTTGGCTCTTGCTATCCCAATTAATAGAAATGGAACGACCATTATTTTTTAATTGCCAGAAATATTTAGAGAGCAGTGCTGTTTCTGTATTTTATATTATCTAAAACTATTTGATGATGGTAGAGACAAAATATCCAAGGATTTTCAATGTTCAAAATATTTAGATTTCAGCATTAAATAACCCACAGAGACATTAATATGCCGCTAAACAAAACCAACCAACCAACTAACATTGAGCACAAATATCACACACTTTGCAGAAGTGCCAGTCAATAAGCAAAGAATCCCATCATTTTGGGTGGGCATTTTGCTACTTAATCATAACAACCACTAAACTGACATCAAAAGTAATAATAATAATAATAGTAAATATTCTTTATATGTTAGATTTAACAGGATGCAGCAAGGATTGTACACAATGGTTATTATGATGTATATACTGGTAAAATTTCCATCAAATAATTTAATACAAAAAACTAAAGATTTTTTCTCAGTAAACTTCAAAGAAAGAAAACTAAAAAAAAGTTTTAAAATAAAAAAAAGGAAACATTAGCTGAAAGAAATGGGCATCAAGTATAAAAGAAATTATTTGTTCATCTATTGTCTTCTGCATCACTTCCTTTTTATTTTTGTCTGGTTTTTGGAGTTGTTCCTACTATCAAATTTAACTCTTATGATGGCAAATTGCCATTAGCATTCTATAACAGTATTGCAAACTTGGAATTCTTATGCGTCATGTTTTCACTGCAATCAGTACAAAAATTACATCATATTGAAAAATGTTGTTTCATTCTAATGATTGATTTTATCTGAACTTCTATCCAAAGTTGACAAATAAAAAATATTCATTTATTATTAGTTTTAACTTGCAGTTCGGTTAATGTATGAATGACACCAAAATTATTGAAAGAAGATTTGTCATTTTGTCTGTATTGTGTATTTTCATTAATTTTGTTATGTTTCTTAAAGAAATTACAGTGTGTAATTGTTTTATTTTTAATTTTTAAAAGCAAGAAACAATTCATTGTGTGTGTATACATTTACTGAACTTAGTCTACTCTGACACTGTGTGAGGCACCCAGTGAGGATTAAATTCACTATTGGTAATAATGATCTGTAAGATGTGCTTTCTAAATATTAATCTAATGCAAGGGGCTGATGCACATTGAGAAGTATGTCAATAAGTCTATAGTTGTAAAAATATTTATATTTTGCACAACAGAAATTTGTTTTTAACATAATCTACTTTCTTGTCAATGAACTTAATCCATTGGTAAAGATTAATCATCTAAACTATATCAGTATGCAAGTAAATGTTTTCCCAATTGGTATTGGCTTATGGCCATATCACATTGAAACACCGGTTCTCGTACGATCACCGAAATTAAGCAACATTGTGTATGGTCAGCACCTACATGACTGACTGCTTGGGAATACCAGATGCTCTATGCTTGGATGTCTGGATGGTGTAATGGTTAACAACTTGGGATTGGAAATCAGAGAGCTGAGTTTAAGTTCCAGTTCTGTTGGTTATATTCACTTATGTGCATCTGCCCTTGGGAAAGGTATGAATCCACTTCTCCTCCCCCCAGCTATGGGTTAATTAGTTGGACCTATAACATTAAATCATTATTATCTCCCAAAAATCCTTCAATCTAAAAATATTCTATTGCTTTAAATAACTTGTAAAAGGTTGATAAGGTGTAAAAAAACAAAACAAAAAACAAATCAATCAACCAACTTAATTATTATTATACAAATTGATGTTGGTAAAATTTAACAAATATGTTTATAATATATATATATATATATATATATATATATATATATATACACACACACACACAGTACGAGGCAAAAAATGGACACACCCGTAGAAATGAAGATGAACAAAATATAAAGTTTATTACATTTGTATTTAGAATTATTAACATGCCTAAGCATTGTCCTGACTTTGAGAAAGGCCAAGTCATCACTTTTCATGATCTTGGGCTGTTGAATAGAACGATAGCTGATAAGATTAATCAAAGTGAGTCATGTCTACAAGTTAATCAAAAAGAAAAAAACTGGAACATATAATAGACATAGCCGATGTGGCCAACTGCTAAAAACTACCAACAGGAAAGATAGAAACTTGGTTCATCAATGCAAAAAAGATCGATTCACAACAACACAAGATGTTTCCAAAGTGAATATAATGAACACAATTGAAATTGAAATTCAACACTCTGATTTCCAGTTTCATCTGGTATTCTCAAGCAGTCACCCATCTAGGTACTAAGCAGGTTTGACATTGCTTAACTTGGTGATTGTATAAGAAATGGTGCTTTAATGTGATATGGCCAAAAACTGTTTATAGTTGAAATAAAACAATTTCATCCAGTTTTATATTTTCATATGCTCTATCACTGATATTGAGCACTTTAACTCATAAATATAGCCTACCTTAAAACTATATTTTTGTCATATATATATATATATATATATATATATATATATATATATATATATAAAAAAAGTAAACCAATATAAACTTCCAGCAAAGACAAGAGAATACACTCTGGCTTACAAATTCTATTCATAAAATGTTTTTTTGTAACAAAGGCATTTTATATATTATAATTATTCTGCTTGCCTTACTCCTCCATTAGTTATTAAGTTAACACATGCATTACAACTTGACATTCTCTCATATAAACAATGGCCATTTTGATTGTGAGAAAAGACTGAAGAAAAAGTTATATCAGAGATGTTGTTTTTTTTTTTAGTGTAAAAAAGAAAGCATATAATAAGAAAGAAAGAAATGAAGAAAGGAAGGAAGGAAGGACAGAGGAGGTGATAATACTTTCATATGTTTAATGTTTGCTTCAATGAAATGGAAAGACTTGTAAATTTTTTTAATCTTTTCATTTGTACCCTCTTCTTTAAATAATGATTTGCATTCCACACTACTTCAAATAAAAAGTTAGGAAGGAAACCCCCATCAATACTTGAAAAGTTACAGGTCTTGCAAAACCTGTTTTCCTGAAAAATTGTTTTAAGATAAAAATTTTATAAATTTCAACCCACAATATTACATGCTACTTAGTCAATGAATACCAATGTTTCTTTATAGGAAAACAGCCAATATTAAAATTACCATTCATACTAATGATTATTGAAATATTTTCTGAAAGTTGTTAAGCTCAGATATTTAACGATGCAGTATAGTCATTTCCACTGGTATTTTATAGTTGTGGAACTCACAAGAAAAGTATTAAGAAACAGGGAAATCTCCTTAGAAACAAAGATAAAAATACTTAACATTTATGCCATATTAGTTCTCCTATATGACAGTGAATACTGGACAATTTCCTCACAGATGAAAAAGAGATTTGAGGCAACAAAATGTGGTTCTACAGAAGGATGCCAAGAATATCATGGAATGAACATGTGAGCAATGATGAAGTTTTAGAGAAAATGGAAACAGAAAGGATACTTATTTATACTTAACATTAGGAAGAGCTAGTTGAAATTTCTAGGCCACTGAAATTTCTAGGCTTACGAAAGCAGCAAATAACCTACCTAACAAAATTTTGTAAATGGTTGGAAGAACAGGGATTAAGAGAGATAGCAAAAAGACAATTTACTAAGAGTTACAATGGACAAGAAATTGTGGAGAGCTATGATTGCCTTACAACCTGAAGAGATGAAATACATAGAAGAACAAAAACAACTTAGGATTTATGATTCATCAAAAAATTCAAATAAGGCAACTGTGATATTTTCATGGTTACTGCTAGCATCAGCTAATCTGACTGCCATTAAATGAAAGAATGTGAAAGGTTTGACAAAAGTATGTGTTTTTTAACAATGAGTGTATGACCTAAAAGAAAAAGCCTTTAAAATCTCAAACGTCTTCATGAAACAATTATATTCACATAAACTATCATTTAAAGATATGAAGAAAAGTATAGAATGAATAACAATAATAAATTTTATCAAGAAAATAAGGTTTGGTTAGTTTATTAACCAGCTGATAGTTACAGATCAAAATAATAGATCCACTCAATTAAATCCAACCCTTAACTTTACATCATTGATCAGTTGATCCTCCCCCTTAAGACATGTTTTCTAAGTGAAAATTCACTCAATGCCATTAATAAGGCAGGATACAGTATGAGAATCTAGAGTTATTGATACTAAATCTGGTATCAGTAGAAGTGTTACTGGATTAAGTTAATCCCTGATCAGTGTTTTGGCTTGTAAATATTTGTGGTGGTGATGTTGTAATGAGATTCAGTTAGTCTTTATGTTGTTGTTAGGTAATCGACTTGTGATTTTGGCACAAATCTTCCTATTTAAAAAAAAAAAAAAAAATGAAAAGGATTTACTGTATAGCTATGGGAATCATTTAGCATAAATAATTGATTTAACCACAAAACTTAGTTGCTTATTCAAACCTGTTTACCTGTTTATGGAAAAACACATATCTATTCAATGCTACACATGATACATACATGCACACATACACACAGATATATATATATATATATATATATATATATATATATATATATATATATATAGGGTCAGGGTCTTGTGCCTCTCCTCCAATCTATGATACGGGGCCCCTCACCCTAGTACATCTCCATTTTCATAAGGTAATATTCATATAAAATACAAATTTAATTGTAACCTAATTATATACAATAATGCAATTGAACAATTCAACTAGAAAAACTGAAAATAAATACAATGTATCTAAATACAAATTAGAGACATGTCATAAGAGATTATTCCAGCTTAAATAAATCAACAACATTTTGCAGCAATTTTTAATATCAACTTGAGATTTTTCTTATTAAAAAGTTGAATAATTTTATTAACTTCAATACTACTGAATAAAAAATAGTGAATTTTATGTAGTGTTTTTTTGCACAGGCAAAACAAATTCATGGACATGGATGAAAGAAAAAGCCTCCAGAATGATGTCAAAATACCCCCCAAAATTTTATCTGTTAATAGTTGTGCTTAGTTTAATTTGTAATATATATAAATGTATGAAGGAAAAAAAAGCAAATGTTGATAAGATCATGAAGTTCAGAAAACACTACCTGGGGCCCCCAATTAGGCTTACCCTCACCCAGATCAGGGCATTTGGGGCTAGTATATGCTGGTGCTATATATATATATATATATATATATATATATATATATATATATATGCAAACACACACACACACTGAAAATACAAATCAACACTCTATAATCTGATGGCCACTGGCAGAGAGTCACTATATAGTGTTGATTCCTATGTCCACACTGTCTATATTTCCAAATGTTCTATCTCTGATACTGAACATTTATAGATATAGACAGTGTGGACATAGGGATCAACACTGATGCAGTTTTGATTCCTGTATCTACACTGTATGTATGCATATGTATGACTGAACATGTTTACTAACCAACCATGAAATTTGTGTTTGAATTTCACCATTAGTTGATTTGTCAAGAAGGTGACTTTTTGATGTTATCAATCTGAAGAGGTGATCCCATCATGTGGCATCTTTGGAAAGTGAATGAAAACCAACCCATGGGTTGTCCCAAGCCTTGTGAGTGAAATTTGATAGACAGAAATGTTCAGAAACACAAAGTCACAAGTCATCATGACTGAGGGCTTGAGTGTACTGGCATTATTCACACTGCTCTCTTCCAAATAATGTAACTAAATTCTGCTCAGTATAGTTGCAATATAAACCACAAGTGAGTTCTGTGAGTCTTGAAAGAACACAAATGTGCCTGAGCAGATGTCTGTAACAGAATACCTTAATACATATACATTAACACACACCTGTAGGTTTTTTTTTAGTTGACAATGTGACACTATTGAATAAGCTTGTATACTTGTGTGCATATTACATTTATCACAGGTGAACAAATGCAATTTGAAAATATACATTCAGTTTTGCTTGGAACTTAGACTTTTATCTGTTAAAACTATTTGAATTATTCAGAAGGCTTCCAGGGATGGTTCAGTGAGCAAAAGACCTGATAAAATCTTGTTACTGATGCTTGAGACTTGCTTGTAAATCTATTGAAAGCCACCCAACCTAATTTTCTTTGATTGAAAGTAGTCAGAGGATATTGCTGATTGACAGTGCAAAAATTAAAAAGGATCTTACACTCTAGAGACAATTATTTCAAAAATCTTGGCATGAAATATGTAGCAGCAAAATTTTTTCCACAATGACAGATTTCTTTTTCTTCTTCAAAAAAAAAAATAAAAAATAAAAAAGAGATCATAACCAGAAAGGAGCCATTTGTCTATGACTCTGACCTTTAAACTAAAACTTATTTTTTTAATAGAGGTCACCTGAGTTTTCATATCCAAATAAGGTCTGTCAAAATTGGAACAATATCAAGTTCATGTTGATATTTTTTTTATCATGCAGGTATTGTCCACTGTGAAAAAATGATACAATTTGTAGCCACTGTTTCATAAATTAAAATTGCAACTTTTTTATATTTTATTAATGTTTGAAATTTGTAGTAAACCTTAGAGGCATTGTATATAATTCCTACATGTGACACACCTGCTAAGGATCAAACTCACCTGACAGTAGTTAGGCTCAGTTAGGGTTATCCATAATAAACCACATGATTATAATAAATAATGTATTTTCTTTTTCTCAATAAAAACTCTAAAATGCTTGGTCTTTTAAAATGAAAATTCTAGCTGTAACTATAACCATGGAGAGTGAATAGTAAGATAGTAACTAAATAAGATTAATATATTGATTCTGATTGATTATGAAAATTGTAGTCTGGAAAGAACTAGTGATAAATAAATACTATGTCTGGTATTAGTTTTTCCTTATTTTAAACTTTTTATAAAATTTTCCTTTTGAGTTGCAAAAATCTTATTGCTTGGCTGATTTGAAATCTAACTAAAATGATATACAAGACTGAGCATTTGGGAGAAAGACTGAAATGTTTTGCTTCTCTAAGATCATTCTCCAGTTTTGATAGAGTTCAAAATTATTTATGCGGTCTTGTAGGGATGATATATTTCCTCTTCTACTGCCTCTTTCTCCACAGGCACAACATTGCAAGCCTATTGCTACTCTGTCACTATTTCTATGGCAGATGTTTAAATGAGCTTCATTATTTTGTTCCACCAGTTCAGACCTTTACAGCTAGGACATCTCATGCTACCTCTATTGGGCTGAATCACCCTCATGTTTTTCTTTTTTTTAATCTTTTCACCCAAAGCAAGGCAATAAAGCCAATGACACAAAAAAGTTACTGATAATAAAAGAAGCTAGGAAAACACTGAAGAGAGAGATGACATTATAAGACCAGTATTCAAGGAAATAGAAAATGATGACTGACATTTTGAAGATCATAATTGACATGAAAGCAAAAAGCCAGAAGAATTCCACAAATGAAAAGTGTATGATTCCACTTGTATGGAGAATGTTTAATTCAACCTTTTCCCTAGAACTGTTACTTACAGACTTCCACATGGATACTTCCCTGAACATTATTGTCTTAACCTCATCAAGGTTCAATCTCTATCCTCCTTATCCTCATAATTTTCACTTCCTACCACCTCCTCTTACATTTATTTCATATACCACATTTAGTAACCCTTTAATTTCAGTGACTTTAAGTTTTATATTGAATAAATTTTAATTTAAAAAAAAAATCAAATTGTTATTAAAATTTGATCTCCAAATAATTCTAATAAATATATTCCTAATCAGTGAATATATGAAAATACAACTGCTCTTTTTTTAGGTTTCCATATTTTAAAAATATGGATGTTAGTTTTACTGGGAGACTAATGAAAAAGCCGCAGTTATCAGTGCTATGTTTTGGTTTAACTGTCAGAATATAAAACAGATTTACCTTTTGTCAGGTAATAAAAATGTTTATTTAATGTTCAAAAATCAATTTAGCAATATTTTAAACTATTTATGATCACCTACATCCTGAAATGACTTGACACATAAAAGAAGACATGTCAAAAATGTATATATTTCTGTTTCACCCAAAATATATATCCTTTATCCAGTGCTAAAAATCAATTTAACTCTTTCTCTATCATTCAAAATGTACTTGGTGATTTTTGTATTGTCCAAATATAAATGCAAAATATCCAAAAGGCATCATATTCTGTTATGCAAATGTGAGCACGTATCTCAGATGCTGTTAGCACGTGCCACTTTCTGTGTGACTGAAATAAGATTCATTTTGTAAACCAAAAAATAGATCAAGCATTTTGTGAACTTAACAGGAATAGGCACAATTTATTCAAACTTTTCAAATTCTGTAGAAAGATGAACTCTGTAAAATTTGATTGGAGCATGTTGCATAATATGCATGTATGTTGATGTTTTAAAATCAGGTAATAACATTTAGAATTTGAATAAATTTATAAAAATTTTTCAAGAATATACCTCAGAAATATATTCACTGAAAATTAGATTTTTAATTCTATAAAAAAAGTGTATTCTGGACACGGAAGGATTAAAGACATTTTTTCATACAATTGATTTAAAGTTTAAAAAAAAATAAGAGGCTTGCAAATTATCTCTGTACATTTTTGGAAACTACTGTCAACGGTATTTAAGTTTTTGTTTTACATGTTTTGTTTAAGAGAAGAAAATGATAAAATACCACTTATTGTGGTGTACATTATAAATTCTGGCTAGAATAATATAAACAATAAAGTCAACTAATTTGTTTGGTATTGCTTCTCTATTGCTGTCTATTTGTTTGCAATGTTTAGCAAAATTAAATTGATTGAGTTTTTTGGTAAGTCTATTCCATAGAAAGTGAATCATCTGCCATATGATTTTGTAATTAACCCAGTTCCGACAGATGTTAATTTAATTTATAGGTTCTTTGTATAAATTATTGTTATTATCCCTTCCACAATCTATGCCAGAGATTTGAAGTCACCTCTTTGTGTGTAAATAGGTTTTTAAACCCACTTTACAAGGATTGAGTACTTTTTATATAAACAGTTTAAATGATTTTGGATATTAAGTCTATTCTGTAATATTTCTTCTTTTTTTTAAAATTTTAATGATGAAAACACTATGCTGTATGATGCTTGAATAATTTAATGATTCCTTGTGATTCTAAAATGAGTTAATCTCATTCTAAGAATTATATGGACCATATGAACTTTATGCTGCTTTAGTTTTTGCTTCAGGATGTTTGCTTTACATCCTTTTCAGGCAAATAATTCATATAAAAAGGAGTCCATAAGATAGACTTATTATCACACATTGCAATACCTATTAGTTCAATTGTTGTTATGAACACATGAACACATTGAAACACAAATGACAACTAAAATAGTCTTAGATTTTTATTTTGACTTCTTGCTTTATTTTGTTTTAATATTAGTCAAATTTCTTAAATGAAGCCTTATCAGTTATTATTCATTTTTGACTAGTATTTATTTGTTTTTTACTGCAACTCTGCCCATCATTACACAGATGTCATTAGTTTGAACTGGAAATAAAATATTATTCACAAACTTGATATTTTTTAATGTATATAGACCTGTTATTGCCATATAATGAATTCAGTAGATTGTTCTTGTTCTACTGTCAGTCTCAGTGGATGTCTCTTTTTAGTGATATTGAGCATAAGAAACAGAAAGCTTTAGTTAAAAACAAAGAAAAGAGTACTGTAATATTGCTCCACCTATATGGCAGTAAATACTGGGCAATCTCCTCACAGATGAAGAAGAGACTTGAAGCAACAGAAATGTTCTACAGAAGGATACTGAGAATACCATGGACTGAATTGGAAATAAAATATGAGCAATGACAAAGTTTTAGAAAAAATTGAACAAAAAAAGGACACTTGTACTTAACATCAGAAAGAGATAGTTGAAATTTCTAAAGCAGGAAATGAGGAAAGAGGGCTTGGGAAATCTGATACTTACAGGACAGACAAGAGGGATAGAAGAAAACAACCTACCTAGCGAGCTTGTGTAAATGGATGGCAGAACAAAATTTAGACAAAATTTTCATAAGAGCTACAAAGGAATGGATATTGTAGAGATCCATGGTCTTTCACATTTGACACGGCACATAGAAAACAATGTTTCTTGTCTCTCTCATTGAACTATAAAGTTAAAGCATTAAATAATGTCGATTAAAGTATTAATTCTTTAAAAAAAGATTCATGGTTTAGGTAGTCAAATTATATGCACAAGATGAAGCCAACTTGTCCACTTTTGGTTATGTCCGAATATAGCTACCTGATTACAGCAGGTTTGATTTAAATCTAAGATCAGTTTATAATTGTTTGTTCTAAGATTATTTTCTCTTTTGACCTTTTATACTTATCTTATGATTATTACATTGCCTTATTGCAGATCATAAAACTATTTTCCTAACCTTTATTCTGATTTTTTGTCTTTGTAGCTTTATCTATATATTTCCTCTTTGATTACTATTATGAGGAACCTCAATATCTATTAAAATCTATGTCTATCATTGCAAACAGACAGTTCACTTACATGTATATAAGTAATGTGGAAATGTTCTCAACCTCACCTATTCCCCAAAATCTGACCAAACAAAGATATTTTTAGGCGTTCTTGGTCAGGGCAAGGATTCTTCTGCATCTCTTTCTACATATACATACATTTATACATATCTAGATGGATAAAAAGAAGACAATCGGAAAATATATTTTTTAATTATTGCCGACACATTTCATCAATCCGACTTTATGAAGGCAAGTTTAAAAGCAAAATGTTTTTTTAGTTACATTAAATTCAAAATATAAACAGAATGCTCCTATGTAAGCCTCCTTCTGGATGTTGGCAACTTTTTTTTAACTTTTAGACTTGCCTTGATAAAGTCGGATTGACGAAACTCGTCGGCAATGACTAAGAAATATATTTTTCAATTGTCGTCTTTTCATCCAAATTGTCTTATCATCAGAATTATTCTGAGAAATTTAACACATATTTATGTGTAATGGTTTTATGATTTCCATGAGTCTTATATATTACTTTAATTAAATCAATAAAAGGCCCAAGATCCACTCAAGATAGAGGGTTCCGTCTACCCAATTTCACTCACAAGGCTTGGATCAACCCGTGGTGTAGTTTTCATGCACTTTCCAAAGCTGCCACATGCTAGGATTGACCCCCACTCCCAGGTTGATATTATTAAGAAGTCACCACCCTGACAAATTGATCAATGAGATTTGAACCAGGGAATCCTGGCCAAAAAATAAACATTCTAATCACTCACCCATAAAGATGTGGTTCCTAACAAAGTAGAACAATAATTATTATTTGTCTTTTTTTCTCCATACAATAAATATTGGTTATCTCATTGTCTATATAATCATTAAGATGAAAGTTATATTGTAGATTTTAATATCATAATCAATTAGTGTGTGTATATATATATATATATATATATATATATATATATATATATATATATATTCAATTATGCTATTTACCCTCCCAACTCCCCCTCAAAGGGTTAAAAAATGCACATTTGAGGATGGTATTTTTAAAAGTTTATATAAAAATGTTTTTTAATGTGGTATTTTTTTCTTATTAATGCAAATGTTATATTTAGGGAGTACACGTGTTTGAGTAGACATCTCTTTTTATTTTTTTTTTTTTTTATAGGTGAAGTTAATATCCACTGGCTTAGAGATTGAAAGTCTTGTTAAAGGAAATTACAGGAATTGAACCTTGTTTCTCTTTAATTTGGGAAACAATCTTCAAGCTTTGCCTTAAGCTGCTTCTTTTTTTCTCTTTATGATTGTAAAGTCAATCTTATTCCAATAGAATTTACAATATAATTTGTTTATCTGTGTCATTGTTTTCATTATTTTCTTTCTTTTTTTTCAGGTGGTGGAGCTCTTGGAATATTACCTTTGGATGCAACAGGTCGACAGGGTGCTGAGTTACCACTCCTATCAGCCCATTCAGGTAACCTTTATTTAATTATCTACCTTTTGATAAGTGAGGCCAAAATTATTACTAAAAATTTAAGTGAAAAAGAAGTCATTGTATGTGGACACATACACCCCAATCATTAGTGATACTTCTAAATTTAGTTGAGTGATATCAAATGTGCTTGATGTAGTGAGTCAAATCAAAGTCATTGTGAGTGGCACATAATGGAATAGAAATATTACGGCTTAAGTGTCCAAAGAATTAATTAGAATTGAATCAAGGGGTTTTCAGTCCACACCAATAAGTTTTCTACAGTCTTATATATATGTATATATTTAATTTTATCTTTCATTGAAAAAGGATACAGCCATGTCTGAAAATTATAACTTTTAACAATTTTTTTCCTGATGTTCCAATTTTCTCATGGCCTAATATACAATAAATATTATATTTTTTCTGAATTTCTTTCATCAGCCTACTACATACACACACACACACACACACACATATATATATATATATATATAATTTTGAATATTTATACATGATATGAGTATGTGGTTGAGTGGTTAAAACATTTGCATTCTTACCATGAGACCATACTCACTGTGGTCGATTTGTCAGGAAGGAGACTTCCTGGTGTTATTGGACTGGATCGAGGTTGATTCCAGTGTGCAGCACCTTTGCAAAATGCCTGAAAACCACACCACGGGTTGACCCAAGCCTTGTGAGTGAAATTGGGTAGACGGAACATTTGGGGGCTGTCAATAGCTGTGCTAGCACAAAGTCACAAGTCATCATGGCCGAGGGCTTGAGCATCTGGCCTTGTTCAAATTGTTGATCACACTAGATAACATGTTCTTTCCCAGAAACTGTAACTAAGGTCTGCTCAGCAAAGTTGCAGTAGAGACCACAGGTGGGCTCTGTGGGTGTTAAATAAGCACAAATCAGATAATTTTGTTTACATATATTTCTTCTCAAATTCCTTTAAATGTAAAGAATTTGAAAATATTTTGGTGACTACTAGAAGTGAGATATCTGGCATTTATGGATGTTCTTTTTATTTAAAAAATAATTTTATTCATAATAAAAATTTATCATTTAATAATATACATTTTACTGCCTCTCTATATTGCATCCCTCTCACACAGCCAGATAATTACATATGGCAATCAAAACTTTGAAGACAGGTTTATTAAAAGCCAAAAGAATGAAACTAGAAAAATACAAAATTGTGATGAGTTTAGTCTGAATAATAAAATAAATAAAAAGATAAGTGAGAAAGGAAAGAAGAAATACATCCCCCCCACCATTCTGCAAGACCAAACATAATTGGTCTAAATTGTTAAAGGAGGTAGCAAGTAGATTTTTGACAGGAATATGTTATAAAGTTTACAATAATAAGTCTACAAGAAGGAAGAACGTTACATGACATTGTAGTATCACACAGTTTGAAAACAGTCAACACCTGCTGTAAGGAGTTCTACATGATGAAGTACGGCAACAAGAATAAATGTTTATAAATTGGCTACGTTTAAAATGATTTTCAAATAAGAATTTATCAAAAGAAACCTCAGTAAAATGTTAAGAATTTACATACTGGCAATGCTATCATTTGCAGACTTAGAAGAATAAGAAAGTAGAAACTGTAAGCTTGGACTTTGTGGCTTATTGTACCAGTTCTGTTAATTACTAAGAGCTAAACAGAAAATGGTCAAAAACAGTGTCTAATCTAAAATGTATTTAAATTAAAAAGAGGATGAAAATAAAATAATACTTGCTGTACTGTGGTAACAGAACATATATAATGTCATATACTTTATGGAGTAAAATACTGGAATAGGTATTGCATGTAATTCACCCCAGACCAAAGAACCCAGTGTATGAGGAGTTTGACCTGCTTTCAATCCTGTCTGCTGAATGTGGAATCATGTGACCTCACACTTGCATACAGTTTGCTGGTTTGGGAAAGATTTGTAATACGTGGTGATATAATATTGAACCCTAGGTAACTGGAAGCAGTTTTTCACACATGACAGACAAAATGTAAGGTCCATGTATCAGATATGGGATTCATGCTACAGACTGGCTGAGAGTAACTGATGAAATATTGGAGTGAATAAAATGTTAAGTAATGAACATTGAAGTTTTTATTTTACTTAAGTGGCACTCTCACTTCATCACAAATGGATCACAGACTCACATATAAACTTTAAAAAAATGCAAGTGAATGTATTCTAGAAGAACTACACAGCCTATCCATAATACCCCATAAATGCAATGTAGCTAACAGATCAATAAAATTTGGCAACAGAGAAAATTTTATCTGAAGAATAAATAAATCTAGAAGTATGGGTGGTGAATTCAGGGTTTTGGTAAAAAAGATAAGGATATTCCTCTTCACTAAATTAATATTTGTCTACAGAAACACTGTTAAAAAAAAACCTGAAAAACATTCTAATAGTCTTGATAATATTCATTTAAATAAACAAACTAAAGAAACAGGACCCAAAATTGTATCTCAGACAAGAATAAATATTTCTATCACCGGCTCATAAATTATGTGTGTTATTTTTACAACTGCTGTCACTGATGCATTCAGTGGAATGAACTGAAAAATTAGGCCAACTTAAACAACTTCAAAAGATTTTATTTACTTTTGCTTTTAGTACTGCCCTTTCTTTGATCTGCTTGCAAGATTTCAAGTAGATTTGTATTAATATATATATATATATATATATATATACACACACACAATGGCAACAAAGTCACTATACAGTTACTTAGAATAAAAAAGCAAAGCAATGAAGCAGGTGACTTGCAGTTCAATCAGTATCAGTAATTAATTTACTATTGTTTACCATAGCATTTTATCGTTTTTAACCAGAATTAACCAGAACCATTTTAATAAGTTTCTGGACTGTTGGTCAATTGCTTTGTCTTAATTGTTATTGTAAGTAACTGTATAGTGACTTTATTACCACCCTTTATATAGAGGAGGTCTGCTGGAGTAATGGATAGTGGCTTGAATTGAAAATTGGAGAGTGGAATCAAATTACATTCAAGTTTGTTATATTCACTTATGTGCAAATACCCTTGGGAAAAGCATGAATCCATCACACTCCCCCACCACCCACAGCTATGGATAAATAGCATGACAGACTGGGTCCTATAGCCATGGATGGTAACCAGTCTAGGAAAATTCAAAATGATCTACTCTAACTATGGGTTAAATAACATCACCAACTTGCTATTGGCCAAGTGTTGTGAGTATGGCTACATCCCTTAAGGCATAGTCAATCAGAGAGGGGTTGCTCCAAAGAAATGAGTAGGCTCTGGATTTGTGTTTATATATATATATATATATATATATATATTTATTATTATTATTATAATAGACAACAGAAATTGATAGAATTTCCTTATCTGAGAAGGATTATTTGTAATTTGAAGCCCATCAATAACTTTAATCAACACAAAATGTCTGTTGCCTTAAAGAATATTTGCTGCCTAAATGCACACAGGTGTTAAAAATTCTACCTGTTGAAATAAATTATAATTTATAACCATGTTTTGAATTTTTCCTACATTTTATATATATATATATATATATATATATATATATATATATATATTCTCAGAAGAGACAAAATAAAAAGAAACACGAGAAGTTATTACTTTCAATTCTTTTGTTTTCCTATGTTTAAGTTTTCTTTTCTTCAAAATTATGGCTGACCACACAGAAATAACATCTGCTTTATTTTTTGGGCAAAATATTTTGTCTGTTTAAATTATTACCATGTATATTGTATTAATTTAGGAATTGTTTTACCACCTGGTCTTAGTTAACTTCTTCATGAAATACAAACCAAGAAATAAATGCAAAATATAAACATTAATTCATCTTGTAAACATTCTTTAAAACTAATTTGGCTTGAATGTAACTTACAACTCACCAGCGGAATATGAATTGAATGAGGGTGGTTCACTACAATAAACGTGGCATGGCAGGTCTTAGTTATGAAGGTTAGAACTGGCACAACTTTGGAATGTAGTTCATCTGAGCACTTTCCATGGAGATAGTGACAGAGCAGTGGGAGGCTTGCAACATTTCATTTGTGGGAAAGGACTTGAAGGGTTGAAATAATTCATCACCCATAAGGACGTGGAGACACTTTCAGACACTATCAAGACTGGAAAGTGAAGACTGGGCAAGAACTACCCAGTACTAAAGGTAGATGATAGCACAGAGAGTCAGGTAGTTACTAGAGTCGTACAGAGAACCAACCATTTTTTCAGCATCTTAATTGATGGATTGAATGTACGAGTTCTACTTGAAGTTTGAGGTTTTGAGTTCCACTTGAGCTTAAGCCCCAATAGGCACTCAAGGTACAGGGCCTCTCTAAGCAAACACCTGCCCATAATGACAGGCAAAAATTCAGAGTTCGCTTAGTGATGATGGAACATGTCTAGTTTGTTTTTGGAGGCATTGAATGTTACCAGCCAGTTTTTCCCTCTCACTGACCTATTAAAGCTAAGATAGAGGAGAGATCAGCTACCAGGCATCTAAAGTGTGGTAGGTGTAACCATATACCATTGTATCATCAGCATAGATATTAACAAATTTTTTAACATATTTATAGGCAGATCATTTGTGTAAAGTAGAGGATTGGGCTGAGAAGTGACTCTTGAGGAGCACCTTCATTGACTGCTTCAGCCTTGGAGAATCGGCTATTAACAATTACCTTCAGGGACCTACTCGTTAGGAAGGATTTCTTGTGCAGTAATCCTTTATGTCATACCTTGTCAAAGGCCTTTCAAATATCTAATGCAATCGTCCTTGAGATATGTTTAGTGCTTCACTGATTCTGTGAGTAATCACAGGATATCAGCAGTGGACCGAGCCAATCAAATTCTGTACTGCTTGCAACTCAAAAAGTTGTTTACTTTTAAAAAGAGGGTACATAATTTTATAGGGAGGTTTTTTCTTTAAAATTTCTGAAAACTAAAAGCTAAAGTGAGAATTGTCTGGCAATTGCAAGAGAATATTCTTAAAAAAAAAAAGAAAAAAAAGGATGTTTAGTTCAGTTTTGCATGAAAACTGTTTGTCAGTTTGCCTGCAAATCTCAACGAAAGTGTGTACAAATTTTTTGTTATATTTCTCCTTTATAGTTTTATATGAGTTTTAACCAAGTATTAAAACACTGGCTTCATTTGACAGGAAGTAATATTAAATAAGATGTTAGGTCTATATTTTTGGAAGTTGTTGAATTAATAAAATTTAATAAAACATGGGTTGCTTTACAAATAGACACTATTGTAAAACAATTCATAAAAGAACACATTTTGAATTGTTAATTTAGTCATTTACTGACAAAACCAATATAAGAGTTTCTATATGAAAACAAAGAAAATCTTATTTTGTTTAATTCATAAAAAGATTGGCTATAAAATCTTCAGTTGATGCATTAATCTGAAAAGAAATGAATTCTTAATTCTGTTGTATTTTTCTTTATTAACAGATTTTGTTTCTGATTTTGACTTCTCTCCGTTTGATGACAACCTTTTGATAACAGGATCACATGACTGCACGGTAAGTTCAATCTCTTTGGCTTTTTATGTTTGTTCTTATTGCAGATAAATATATGACTTGAACCTTTTAGTCAACATTTATGTCATCATAATAAAAATAAGAACATTTCTGAAGACTCACTGAAGTCCTAGTTTCCATTGCAAGTTACAATAAGTGAAAATATTTATCATGATGTTATTTTAAAAATATATCATTTTACAAGCATTTCATTCATGACACATCATTTTCTTGGAATGTAGTGATTTTTACAAAAAGCAAGAAATTAATTGTCCTATTTTATTGATCTTATTTTTAGTTGTAATGATAATGTACAAAATTAATGATAGTATACAATGTGATATGTAAATGATCTACTTTATAAAAGGCAGTATCACTATAGCTATGGGAGAGTTATCTTCTCTTGATGTAATTACATCTATCAGAGAGAATACCCACCATAACTATGGCATTGCTGATCAGTTGCTTAACCACAATAGAGGATCCTGAATATATTGAGACCTGGCTTAAGTGTTTTGCAGTGTCAGCAAGGGTGAAAAAGTTAAAGGACATAAAAGATAGTTGAGGAGGAAATGAAGTTATGGATTTGTTTTGGGCCTCAGCAGGGTGTCAGGCCATAAAAATATCTCCATCATGGTCTAGCCCAAAGTGTTGGAAGATTTAGCCTATGAAAAAATTGCTGCCACCATAAAAGTAAATGTATGACCAAAAAAAAGATTGGTCATAGCAGAAAGAACTAAATTTCTAAAAAGTAGACAAAAACCAGATGAAACTATTATGCAATATGTACAATGATTGAAAGAAATGTTGTGATATTGTGAGTTTGAAAGAATGGGTTCAGAAGAAATGTCTGTCGAAGTTGAGCTAATTATGCTAAGACTGAGTGAAGGAATGTTTGACATCTCATACAAGCGTAAAATTCTAGAGTGGCTTCAAGCTCATATTATGAATTTGGAAGCATGTGTGGAGTTCTTAGAACAACTGGAATTGATTCAAAAATTTAATGCCTCTGAAAGCAGCATGTAGACTTATAGTGCTACTAAAAGCTTACTTGTATACAGATATTGCAATAAAGAACATGAAAAGAGCAAAAATAAGTGTCCGGCTTTTGGGAAATGGTGTTTTAAGTGTAAAAAGATGAATCATTTCCAGATGGTATGCACATATGAAAAGCAAGTGGATAAAAGTATGGAAATGGTCAAATTGAATGGAGTAACTTTACTCATGCAGGTGAATACTGGAAATGATGTTACGTTGATACCAAGGAATTTTTTGGAAAGAATGGATAGACCAAAGTTAAAGAAAAGTAATCTCCAGTTGAAAAAGTTTGATGGGTTAACCTTGAAAATTTGAGGATGTTTTGAAGGCATGTTTGAAACAAAAAACAGATTCAAGATAATACCCATCATAGTGGTGGAAAACATCAAAAGCCACAGTCTTTTAGGAAATAATGTGTTAAAAGTGGATACATTGAAGCTGATAAATTCCATGAAGTCTGTAGAACTGGATGTTGGATTATTAAGGAGATATGAGGCGAGTATTTGGCTTAAAGAAAGCAGTCAACCCATGTATTTTCAAGTCTGAAAAGTTCCTGTTCACATGCCACCCTTGATGGTTGCTAAGATGAACAAAATGGTGGAACAAGAGATATTAGAAAAATTCATCCTGTGTGGCAGCAATTGGGCTTTACCCATTGTGGTGATATGCAAGCCCAATGGAGATTTAAGATTCATTTCTGTTGCCAAACATGGGTTTGCTGGTATGAAATACTTTGCTAAAGTTGACCTTAAGTTAGCATATAATCAGATAAAAATTGATAGCCAGTTTCAAGAAGTTGCCACAATGAATGTCCCTATTGAAATAATAAGATTGACTCGTTTGGAGTAAAAATATCAAGTGACATTTTCCAAAAAGCCATCGAAAAAGTTTTAGGTGGGGATTAAAAATATAATTGTATATCAGGATGACATTGGCATTGGTGCATGCAGTAAAGAAGAGCTCAAAAATAAAACTGAGCAAGTTTTGAGAAAATTAAATAATATGAGTATGACAATTGCGATAAATGCGAGTTCAATTGTGAAAAATTTTGTATCTAGGATATCCAATATCCAAAGATGGTATATCACTGGATGATGAACTCATTAATAAGATACCTTATTTAACATTAACCAATTTCTATAATAGATATCTGCCGCAATATAGTGACCTTGTGGAACCATTTAACGCAAGAGGGAAAAGAATGCAGAGTTTCAATGGACAAAAAGACAGGAGCTTGCTTTTAAGAAATTAAAAAAAAGCACTCATAAACAAACCAATTAAAATTTTCTACCCAGCAAAAGAATTGACATTAACTACTGATTCCAGTGATTGTGCTATAGTCTCAATATTGTCACAAGAAAATCATCCTATAATGTACTTATCCAGAAAACTAACACCAGTGGAGACGAATTATTTGAATATTGAGGAGGAGGTATTGATGATTGTGTGGAGCATGAAAGAACTAGAAATTTTAGGCTGTGAAGGAAATTTCTATTAAAATCTTATCATAAGCCTTTGGAATTTATATTCAACCCCAGAAGAGAGTTGCCAAAGATCACATCTACCAGGATATTAAGATGGGTGATTAAGCTTATGGCGTTTGACTTTGACCGTGTATAAATGAAAGGAAAAACTATTCCGCATGTGGATACATTATCTCTGTTAAATTTTGAGAGTAAAAATGTTGAAGCAAGTGAAAATTGTGAGGATAGGATTTTGCACTGGAGAGAAATGGACGTATTACTCTTAAATCAGCTTAGGTTGAGAACTAGGGTGGATCTAATTTGGAATAGAATTATGGAGAGAATAAAGAGAAAAACATGGAGTAATTGCTCTATGGCTGAGAGGCCATATAAAGAGTCAAGACACGAATTAACAATAGAAAAAGGAATTATATATAATGGAGATATCATAGTACTGCCAGTCTCTGAGAAAAGAAGTAATGAAAGCCATGTAATTGATATATATAGAGGTATATTGGCTACACAAATGAGGTTAAAGTTGCAAGCATGGTGGTCAGGCTATTTGGGTTACAAGAAGCCCAAAGTGTGCTGAAATAAAGAAATTTAAGCAAACTAAAATTCACTCTTGGTCAAAAGAAATGGAGCCATAGACATGAGTACATATGGATCATACCTACATAAATGGTATAGGACTATTTCTGATATTAGTCGACTTGTATTCAGTTTGGTCTGAAGTTATTAAGGTCACAGATAGAAAAGCCACTACTGTGAAGCGGGTGTTGAGGATAGTGTTTTCAAGAAATTGAGTTCCAAAATCCTTGGTCTCCAACAATGTACCTGAATTTTGTGAAGAAAGTTAATGTGTATGGTTAAAATGTATTGGCTGCATTCCATACAAAACACCACCTTACCACCCACAGTCAAATGGAATTGTGGAGAGAATGATTCAAATGGTAAAAAGTGGATTTTGATATAGGGTTATTTGCCCAGACTACACCTGTTATAGTTATTCTGCATGTAGGCAGAAACAGAGCCTATCTGCATTGATGGGAAAACAAATAAGAGCTGTGATTACCATGTCATTTGCAACGAATGAAAGTGTATGGTACAGAATGCACAATCATTCAAGTCCTGTGAGATCTATATATTTATATGATAGGTTGTAGTGCATATATTGTGGTTGCAGGAAGATTTTTAAAGCAGGTGATAGTGTAGTGGTAGTATTGTATTGTATGCGATACAACATGTGGTTACCTAGAGATTAAGAAGTCTCCCAGAGAGGAAAAGAGACATGTCTTGTCCCTATGGTATTCTGTAGTTGAAGAGAGAAAGAAGAGAGAGTAAGGGTTTGTACCCTTGGTAATAACATAAACGCATCCCATCTCCTCTCTCGCTTGTGACCATCCACTATAGTAAAATAAATGTTTTCAGTGCTAAAGCTGAATTAGTCAAATAAAGTTTCATAAGATTCTACGTGTTGCTATATTACAGAACCCTTTCCTTTTATACTGTTTTATACAAAGCCACCTAGCAGGTGTTTAGAAAAGTCTCTTGGCAAACAAGATGAGGTAATTCCACATGTTGTTTAAGCTTATAGTAGCAGACTTAGTCATAAAAAGTAAAATGAATCAATAAGGCATTTCAAAAATTGAAAAACAAAAAACTCTGATTGAATAAGATTCTGAAAGTCAGTAAGACTCTGCCAAGATAACAGTAACACTGTAGACTGGATTATATAAGCAAAACATATTAGAAAGTAAATCTGTATTGGACAAAATTCCATCTGAACGAAGCTAGACGATGAACTAGCCAAAATATTCTGATATCTCCAAAACAAAACAAAAAATTACGTGAATACTGAGAACAAAGAAGAAAAACAGATTATAGTTCTTTGTTAAAATCTATTCTTTTAAGTAATGTTTATTTGTTTTGATGCCATTAACATATATAACACTTTTGTTATTTTCGTATAAAATCAAAATAAGAGCAACTAATCAATTTCTAAGTGGATACACTTGGATATAGAATATTGGATATGATTTCCATTTGTAGACACAAGTCAGCTGTGATATGTGATCATTGAACTGTAATGGGTCACTTAATTTACCAATCTTGATGCAACCATTTGTAAATATCAATGGTTCTTCTAGATTTCACTTTTGGGACACTGCCCACTACTTCAAAGATATACATCATATATATATATATATATATATATATATATATATATATATATATATAAATAGAGAGAGAGAGAGAGCAATAGCACAGGAATGTATGTTATTCTCAACATATAAAGGAGCACTACAAAGTTGTCAGCCTGACCAGGTTCAATCAGATTTTGAGAAATGAGTTATCCTGGGAAGTTTTCAACACACTTTTCTATGTCTGTGTACATCTGTAGTTTATACCCTCTCTCTCATATATATATATATATATATATATCAACACCCAGTGGTGACAGTCAGTTTCATACTTAAACGTGATCGTCATGTCTGAAGATTGCATTTAAGAATGAAACAGACTGTTACCACTGGGTGTTGGCTTCAATGTTCACTTTCATATTTACCAGGTGCAATGGGTAAATTGTTGGCATTTATATTTTTAATTTCACACATGTGCATTGTTTGTTTTTGATTTTTGTTGACTGCACAGTACAGTAAGGTCAGCTGGGCAACATCTGTTAGAAAAAGAGCACCCTGATGCAATTCACTCCACCAAAAATTTGGAAACAGCATGCTGTACTGTTTGGCATTTGTGCCAGAAGCTCCAATATGAGCATTCCAGAATATTTGGGTGTCAATCTGAGGACAGTGCCAAGGATTTGAAAAGATTTAGAATGGTGATTACAAAGGTGTTTGGTGTGATCACAACATTACGCCTACATTCATCTCCTCACAGAGCCTCAAACTCAACACAGAGACCTACATCAAGTACCTTGAGGAGGTAATGCTGCCCTGGGTGAAGAGGGTGGCTGCTGGAAGACCCTATGCCTAGCAACAGGACTTTGCACCATGCCACACAAGCAGGAGAACCCGGTTATGGCTGTCAGACAATTTCTGGGACCACATCACCCCTTAAATCTGGTCACCTAACTCCCAAGACTGTAACCCCCTTGATTATTATGTGTGGGGTGCAGTTGAGTGAGAGAACAATAAAACTCCTTGTAATACCAAAGATGAACTAAAGGCAAAGATTATGGCAGCATTCACTAACTTAAACAAGGAGACTGTCCAGAAGAGTTGCAGGAGATTCTGAAGTTGTCCGAAAGCCGTGGTTGAAGCTAGTGTTGATTTTATTGAATAAATTTACTGTTTAGTATTTCAAGATATTTTTGTGCAATTTTGGTAAATATATCTATTAACATGAGATGTCAGTGTTATTTTCTTTTTTGCATAATTTAGTTAGCAATTTATCCATTGCACCCTGTATATATGCTCTATCACTATTGAGCACTTTAACACATAAATATAGCCTTCCTTAAAACTTTATTTTAATTTTTATAGCAGCACATAATGAATGCTAATGGTAATAAAACATTGCTTGATGCAAAATACCAACGCTAAAATTTATACTAATAATAATATATCAGTAGCAGTCTCGGGAAATGTTCTTTTCACAGATCAGGAAATTGTAGTGTGGGCATTGTGTCCCATTTGTAGCAATCAAACTAATATGAATATTGATCTCTGTACATCACTTAAACTGCTTTTACGGCCCATCTTTTCACTATATTCTTACACTTTTCTAATAATTTGGCACACTCAAATCACCGTGCTGATAACAAATATGGCACCAGTTTGTTTACATTGTGCAGATCAGGTTGAAAATTTCTGTGATTGCGCAGGTCAGTGTTGCCAACATTGTGTAAAAATTTTGTGTGAATTGATTGGATGGTTTTTGAAATATTAGAAAAAAGTTATCTCGATAATAATTCGGCACGCAGTGTATTAGATTAATTATGAAAAAAGAAATATAAGATTGAAGCCCTTCTTCAGGCCTTTCGCTAGAGTGTTTTGTGTGTAGAGAGCTCGCCTTTAAGTCAGGGTTGCAAGTAAGTGTTTTATGTTAATGAATTTATGTGAATTCTAACATTTTGTTTAGACTAACAGTGACTAGGTTTCAAATTAGAAAAAATCATAAATAAAATGGAACAGTTTTATTTTTTTAATGATTTACAATAAAAGATGTTTTCTTGACCAATATGTACAATGGAAAGTGGAATAACATCAAACATGAGAAATAGGTTCAATAGTTTGTTACCAAAATTAGTTTGCATCATTTTCATGATTGGGAGCAAGTAAATAATTTGGTTGGGGTGTCCTGTAGGTCTCTCTTTGGCAATGGGCATATCTCTATTACAAAATCATGAAAACCAGAACAAAAGGTTTTCAGTTTGGGAAATGGGATTTTAACATTGACAAAAAAAAAGTGTCACCAAGTAATGATGTTAGCTTGGATATTACCATGTGTGTGATGTCATCATAATGCAGAAATGGCAAATACAGAACTTTAAAAAAATTCAACAATTGAAAATTGAATAGCATTCAGTTTTTCCTTAATCTTGATAATGACCAGAAATATGGTTGAAAGTGCTTAATCACAATATTCACATCCAGTGGATCCAGACATCTACTCTTGTATATAAAAATATAAAAAAAGTATTTTTCTATAAAACTTGAATTAACGAAAGGCTACAACCAAAATACGCATTCTCTATCTATACACACACATACACAAATATATATATATATATAGTGACAGTCTGTTTTATACTTGAACACAATATTCATGGTCAAAAAATTGTGTTCAAGCATGAATCATACTATCATCATTCAGTGTTGAACTCTGTCCACACTGTTTATATTTACATATGCTGTATCCCACATATTTAGCAATTTTACCCTAAAAATATAGTATACTTGTAAACTATATTTTATCAAATGTATGTAATGAATAAACAACAAATATTATAATACTGTGTTTAAAAGTATTTATAAATAAAAAATGAATACCATCTATATACTTCTCTGATGTTGATAATAGTCAGAAGTACAGTGAAAATGCTAGATTCCAAACATTTGGGCAATGTTTACATTCATTTAATTCTGATATGTGTTCTCTTTGATATAAACCAGAAAAGTTAACTATTTTTTTTTTAAATTCTTAACCTATAATCTTTAATCAAACTCATACTAATAGAACCCACACACACACACACATTACACAAAAACATTTACTATTTTGTTTACTCTAAGACCTTTGAAGAATTATCCATTAAATCTGAAACTTGGTACTTATCCCTGAACACAGATGTGCAACTTTCATTGCTACATAACATAGACACAAGTTTCATACACCCAGCAACCTGTTTCTCATGTCAGTCCTTAATGACCCTGTTTCTTTATTATTGTTGCAATTAAATTGCACTAAATTGCTTGCTTGACATCTTTGCTGGTTCAACAGTTGCATCATTTGATTTCAACAACTTTTAAGTAAAGAACTGAAAAATGTCTGTGGCTCATTTTCCAAATAGACATTTGCCATATTTAATATCATTTTTATTCAGCAGCATTCACATGTCTTCACATTAAATATTTTCAGTAGAGTGACATGTTATAAAGTTTGTATTGTTAAAATAGTGTGGATGGATGTGCAGGAGATGTTGAAGACATTTTTAATGTATGCTGTTCTATAACATCTTTTGCTGAAAGAAAAGGAGACATTTTCAATGAAAATATCTGATAACTTCACATAGTTTGCATAATCAAAGGACTGTTTTGTCTATTTATATATGACATAAAAGTTCTACATAAAGAGAGAACAATGACTTATAGAGAAACATGAGTGGATAAGACATCTCTGATCTGAACTTTTATTCATTGTCTGGAAATTGGAGTTCCTTGGATGAGTGCCAAATATCACCTCAAAATATAATGATGCCAATGCTAATTTTTCTTTTTCTCTTACTTTTTTTACATTTTTAAAAACATTTTTCATTCTTTTTTTCTTTTTTGTGCTTCTCTTCCTCTTTTCTCTTTCTTTCTTTTCTTCTGCTCTATTCTATTTCTCTTCTTTCTCCTTCTCTTTTCTATATCTTTTCTTTCTCCTTCTCTTTTCTATATCTTTTCTTTCTCCTTCTCTTTTCTATATCTTTTCTTTCTCCTTCTCTTTTCTATATCTTTTCTTTCTCCTTCTCTTTTCTATATCTTTTCTTTCTACCTCTCTTTTCTATATCTTTTCTTTCTACCTCTCTTTTCTGTCTTTTCTTTCTCCTTCTCTTTTCTCTTTTCTATTTCTTTTCTTTCTCCTTCTCTTTTCTATTTTCTTTCTTTCTCCTCTTTTCTATTTCTTTTCTTTCTCCTTCACTTTTCTATTTCTTTTCTTTCTCCTTCACTTTTCTATTTCTTTTCTTTCTCCTTCACTTTTCTATTTCTTTTCTTTCTCCTTCACTTTTCTATTTCCTTTCTTTCTCCTCTTTTCTATTTCTTTTCTTTCTCCTTCACTTTTATCATTTCAATAAATTCTAATAATCCTTTACTAAGTTAATTTTATTTTTTTGCCATTACGTCCAAGTGAAATTGTAAAATAAAGAGCTGATAAAAAAATTAATAATGTAGAAAATAAAAATTGTGAAAAAAGCAAATTATTATAAAAGAAATAAATAATAAAATTTGGGAGCGAATATCATTTAACAAAGTACCGTATATACTCTCGTATCATGCGACCTTCAAAGATCTAATTTTGAAGCTAATTTGACTACAGTAAATGGATATATAGTTTGGTCAATGGTGTAGCCAATGCCAGCAGTACATACACTAATTTTATATCTCATGTATGATACAACCCCCTTAAAATTAGCTTCAAAATTGGGTCTACAAAAGATGCATGGTACGCAGGTATCTACAGTAACTTGACACCCAGGATAAAGAATAATTTAAGTTGACTGAATGCAATAAGATACACTTCAAGGCATTTTTAAAGAAATCAAACTTACCTGAACTGCTACATAAGCCTAGAAATGTAAATAAGTTAAATTTTCTTATTTGACATCAATTGAAAAGAAAAAAAGTGAAGATATAGTTTATCACAATATTATGGATAAATTATTTTTAATTTAAAAAAAAAAAATATGAGCATATTTAATTTCTTGTAAAATGAAAACAGAAACTCAATTACACTTTGTAATGATTTTCTTAGAATCTATTTTTAGGAAGGAATTTTCATCAGAGTAAACATGATTCCATGTAAACTAAACCGCCATAGAAATTCCAAGAGTCTCTGTAATCTTTTTTCCATTAAGTATCTTTTGTGTTGTGATCATATTCCAGGTTTGCAATTTAAGAAATGAGCATAAAGTAATTAAAATATTTAAAAAAATACAAAATATAAAAGAAAAGTAACTGTCTGTGCCTTTACTATTTAAGAATTCATCAGGTTTTTAAAAAGAATACAGTATTATCTGTAAATTTTCAGAACTTCATAAAATTTTCACTGTGGAAAATATTCTCTGTGCTCCTCTGTATATTTTTCATTCTTGAAGTTGGTTTAATTATGCAAATCTGTGACAATGGAAAGCAATATAAAATTGTTTGCCAATAAATATTGGCTAATGGCAAGCATATTTCAATTTATACTCCTTACTGGCTACTGTTAAATCTGGTATTAATTATAAAAATCTAGTATTATTTATGTTTCTAAAATTAAAAAATTCTTTATTAATTATACATTGATGAAAAATCTAGTATTAATTATCAGTTTTTACCTATAACTTACGAATGCAAATTGTCTCCTGAGTAAGATGGTAGGCATTAATGGGGTATGTTTTTTGATAGAATGAATAATTGATTTTAGAGTAGTAAGGCAACAATGATTTTTGGCAAGTGTTGTAAATATTAAGTGTTTCAGTCGATTGATAAAACTATTGAAGCAATGAAAATATTACTTATCTGCATATTATCTCTCTTTAACATCTTCTGTTAATCACATTAAATTCTATTGAATTTGAAAACATTTATTCATTTATGTCCCTTTCAAATACTGTGTAGTTTTTCAATCTTAGGCTCTTAACTAAAACTAACATAAAATGATAGATATCAGTCTCGTTCTATTTAATATTTCCACAATCTTTGACATGATCCATAATTTTCCTTTCTTCTATATGCTTTCAAGATGTAGTGGATCATGGCTCTCCATGACTTCATTTGTTTTTTGCTCCAAGTTATTTTACGCAGAGGTTGATATGATGATAAAACCAAACAACCAATCTAAGTTTTAACTCTTTACAGTCTCTCTGTGTTCTTGTTCATCCAATCATTTGCACAAATATAATAAGTAGTTGACTCACCGTCTCCTATTTAATTCTGTTACCTTCACTATGCCGTGTGGAGTGTTAAATTCTTCAGACCCTCTTTCTTCATTATGTATCTCAGAAATTTTGACTGTTTCTTTAGGGTTGTAGGTATGTGACCTTACAGTTCCTGTTCTCCTGAAAACTTCCTCATTGAGCACATGTTCTGTTCATGGTATTTTTTTCTTATTTCACCCCAAGCAAGGCAATAAAGCCACTAAAATGCAAAACCTACTGAATGTAAAAGAACACAAGAAAAACATAATTAAAGAAAGAGAAGATTAAAAGAACAGGAATTAAGAAAACAGAAGATGATGATGGATATTGAATTTAAATTTTTGAAGATCAACATTGAATGGAAAGCAAGAATCTGGAAGAGAGTTCCACAAGTGAAAAGTGCAAGAGAAGAAACTGTTAGCATAGAACTTACGGTTACATATAGCCACTTCAATTGTAAAATAATCAGGCTTTACTATGCGATTAAATTCATAAAGTTGAGGTACCAAAGAGGAAAGCTCATCTGAACAATTACCATAAAAATATTTATAGAAAAACATTCTCATCATTTCTTGGCAGAATCACATTTTTATTGCTTCATATTTCTTTTTTATCTTTGAAGAACTTGTCCATTATTCACTGTCATACAGTTCTAGATTAATTTTTCTCATATGAATGAAGAGAATTAGGAAAAGGTAAATAAGAATGAATGAGAAGAAAAGGATCATGGTATGAGTTAATAACACAAATTTATTGATTCTTATATAAGTACAATTACTAAATGGTAGCATTAGAAATAGGTTGTGAGAGGTGTGTGTATATATATATATATATATATATATATATATATAAAAAGTGAACATTGAAGTCAACACTTAAAGGTGACAGGCTGTTTCATGCTAGACGCAATCATCAGGCCTGACAATTGTGTCTAGCATGAAACAGCCTGTCACCTCTAAGTATTGACTTCAATATTCACTTTTATATTTACACACGCTCTATCTCTGATATTAAGCACTTTATCCCATAAATATAGCACACCTTAAGAGTATATTTCTTCATATATATATATATATATATATATATATATATATGGTGCAATGGATAAATTGTTGTCTAAATTATGTCTCATTTTAACACATATTTACCAAAATTACACAAAAATATCTTGAAATACTAAACAGCAAATTTATTCATTATAAAATCACCATTGGCTTCACCACAACCTCCAGACAACTTTGGAATCTCATGCAACTCTTCTGAACAGTTTCCTTGTTCAAGTTAATGAATGCTGCTTTCATACTTGCCTTCAGTACATCTTTGGTATTACAAGGAGTTTTGTTGGTCTTTTGTTCAACAGTGCCTCACACTAAATAATCAAGGGGGTTGCAGTCTGGAGAGTTAGGTGGCTAGGTGTAAGTGGGGGAATGTGGTCACAGAAATTATCTAACAGCCATAACTGGGTTCTCCTGCTTGTGTGGCATGATGCAGAGTTCTTTTGCCAGGCATTGTGTCTTCCAACAGCCACCCTCTTAACCCAGGGTAGCACTACCACCTCAAGGCACTTGATATAGGCCTCCATGTTGAATCTGAGGTCTTCAACAACCAATTCGAGAGTTCTTTTCTTATCAGAATGATCAGAGTGAGTTTTCTGAGCACCTTTGTAATTATGATTAGACTTGCCCAACTCTTTCTGAATCCTCTGTATTGTCCTCAGATTGACACCCAAACACACTGAAATGTTTGTATTTGAGGGTCCAGATTGAATGCCAAGCAGTACAACATGCTATTTTCAAATTTCTGGCAGAATGAATGATCATGTTGCTCTTTTTCTTGGAGATGGTGCCCAACTGATCCTATTATACTGTACAGTTGACAAAATCAAAAACAATGCACATGTGCAAAATTAAAGATATGGAATGGCGACAATTTATTCATCGCATTCTCTGTGTGTGTGTGTGTGTGTGTGTGTGTGTTTTAATAATAAATGTACATTTTGTTTCTCAACAGTAGCACAACTATTCATCAGACCTACAAATTCAAAAAGATATTTTTTTGAATTTGTAGGTTTGATGAATTGGATCGTAATTACAATTCCAATGTAATAAATTATAACCATGGAATATTAGTGTTTGAGCCTTTTATATTATATTCTTACTCTGTCCTGAACATTGAGTTCTACCTGGATTCTATCCTCTTGGGAATATATATATATATATATATATATAAAAGTTCACTTGAGGATGAAATGGAACTAATGTCTTTAATTTAATCACAAAATTAAATTCGAGGCTTTTAGCTTCCATTTTTGAAACATGGTTAGAACTGTGTAGCGAAAAAAAACATATTTTAAATCAGTTAATTTATAATATCAATGCTCTGTAAATTTACATTGAGCACTATTTTGTAAAAATAAAAATATCTATAAGAACACCGGATTATATATCTTGCTGTTCTTTCTTTTTATATATATATATATATATATATATATATATATATATATATACTTAAGCATTATTTTTAGTGGATACTCATATTTGAGTAGATGGTCCTTTTATTTATTTAACAGTATATTTATTTTCATCTATCAGCCTGAATATTCGAGAAATCTTATTAGAAAAAAATATGTGCTCTCCAGCAGGATATGAACCTGTCTTGCCTGCCAGAGAGCACTTTTTTTTTTCTAATATGATTTCTCAAATATTCAGGCCAGTAGACAATAATAAGTAAATATAAGGTTTAATAAATAAACAGTGTATCTATTCATATATGAGTATCCACTAAAAATAACTAAGTAATAAAAATTTGTCACATTCATAAATAAAAAATCCATCCCTTTGCTGTGTAACAAGATTTAAGCAGCGTGACTCTGAAAAAAGACCATGCAAAACTATTGGGCTAATGAAAGATATGAGATGATAAAGACATAATTATATGGAAATTCCTAAGTAGGAATTGTTCATTCTTATTAACAGGAGTGTAAAGTGCATTGGAAAGTCATTGGAGTTGAACATTAGGTTGTTTTTTTATTTCCTATAAAATGATGGCTAAGATTTCTGCTGAAACAAAGATGAAGGTTGTGACATTGAATAGGAATGAGAAATAGCTAGATGTCTGTGAATTTCCAGAAAGCCATTTTCCTCCTACTGGAATTATTTTAAATGGAAAGAAAACTG